CCTTGAAAATTATATGATTGTAGAAAAACATAATATTTTAAAGAATTTTGTGGAATTCTCTTTGATTTATTAATATTTTTACACTAAAATATAAAATTTGATTAATTTTTAACAAATATAAAATTTCAGTAATTTTAAAATTGGTAGTTTATGATTCTTTATAGAATAGACATTAAATAATGATAAACATATAAAATATCTTATATACATTTTACAACACGGCATGATATTTTCGAAAATCATTTCAACATACAGCATAATAAGTGATCGGTTAAATCCGATTTTATCGATTATTTTCGCCATTCGGATGCGGTTCCGAAATGTTCTTTTATTATTTATTCAACAAGTTCGTACAAGTCCGAGATGGTCTGAAGTGCATAGTATTTTGAGTGCATATTATTAGCATATAGTGATTGAAAATTTAAAAATAGATTATCATATCAGTTTTTTATTATAAATATTCTTAAATGCTTAATTGATTATAATTATGCTGTATGTCGTGTTATATGTATAAATTTTCATGTAACGTAACATGCATAATAAAAATATATAACATAAATTAAATAACGACTTTTTTTATACATTTGGATCCATGAAAATTTTAGAAAAAGTAAAGAGAAATCAACTTTTTCTGTTTTTTTACTGTTATTATTTACTATTATAATTTACTATTATTATTTACATTTACTAATAATTATATCTATATCTTAGTCAGATAGTATACAGGGTATATCTGAAATAACGCCCACTAATCATACAAATTGCAAAATGATAAAAGACTTTTCGACTTAGTTTTTTTATTAGGAATAGCATTATATGATTAGTGGGCGTTATTTCAAATACACGCTGTATAAGACTGTCGGAACACAGTCTTAGCCAGTCAAGACTATTTAAATTTTATAAAATATCTGTCAGTTTTTCAACATGTAATTGACATTTTATAATTCGAAAAAAGACAATTATTGTCATTATCTTATTATAGTATTTTATGAAAAATCGAACTTTTTATAAAATACAAATAATATAGTTATTTGAATAAATTTCACTGGCCTAGTTTACATTGTGCACTTGATACGCGTACTAACTAGTAACTTTCTATTAAATTATTTTAATTTCAGCGATGTATTCAAAGAATGATGTAAAATCTAAATTGATACAATATACATCAAAGTGATTAATTAAATACACATATCATATATATGTTTACCGTCGAAGTTAAGATAATTATAGAAGTTACTAGTTAATGCCCGTATCAAATGCACGATGTAAACTAAGCACACAATATTAACAAATATTATTCACAATATTATTAATCATGTGCACTTAATATTGCTGTAGAATACTGTTAGTGATCTTGATTTTCAAGAAAAAGTAACAAATTACCATTACCAATTTTTAAAAGTAACTCATTACAGTTACCGTTGAGAAAGTAACTTTTCGTTACTTTCCCGTTATTTTTTTTTAATATCTATAACCGCCAATCACAACGAACAAGCCTCTAGTTTCAAACGTTATGCACTGTAAAAAATTGTTATGTAAAATTACAACTATTATAGTGGATAATTTTGAGCCATATAATAGTTGTAAACGACCACACATTTGTAAATTTGCAATATGCAAATAAAAATAGAAAGAATTGACAAACTCAAATATAATTTTATTTTCAAATACTTACGTGTAGAATGACAAGACGCCTATAAACATCTTGGGCAAACAAAATCTGAATTATGTAGCATTTGTAGAAAAATTGAAAAAATTCTACCTAATAATATAGCGTATTCTTTCTTTCAAATAAAAATAATTTCTTGGTTTGTAACTAAGCTTGTGGAAGTACAATTACAATGTGTATGTGTAGTTACAGGAACGCTAATATGACAATAGATTTCGCACTATATATTATTATACATTTAACAGTAATAAGCGAAAAATTTCTGTTATATTACTAAAATTTAGATAATTACAGAAAATATTCAAATTAATCCTGCTATTTACATAATTTTCAATATAAAATAAAATATATTTATACAATAAAATTTACATAATTTTTGTGGACTTACGTAATTTCTGTAAAATTGCATGATTTTATATATATATATATAGAACTTATCATGTAATCTATTTTATATCTATTATATGTGTAAAGAAATTTTTTTACAGTGTAAGTGGCTTGTGTCGTATCGTGTCGTGTCCAATCATGTGCAAAGTAACGATAAAAGTAACTATAAAATTTATTACTGTTATCAAAAAAATGTAACTTCGTAACTTACCATTACAGTTACCAAAGAAAAAAAAATAACGCAGTTACCAGTAAAGTTATCAAAAAAGTAACTTGTAACTATAACTTCGTTACAAGTATATATAACGAGTTACTTCCCTGACAGTATATCACATGCAATACAATAGATAATGTAAAAATAAAGTGTAAAAAATATATACTGTCAATAATATCTGATCGTGTAAGGTTATAAAAATACTAAAAATATTGATACTGTTAGCATTACTGATTAAATATTACTGATCAGTATTATTAACTGTTAGAATCATTTTTCTATACAGACGTACAAATTTAAAAATATAAAGATACTCAGATATTTTTAAATTATTTTAATATAATATTGATAATATGCACTAAATAAATATTTTATTAATATTTTTGTATTACAATCTTTATTTATTGTTACTCTTACACACTAGAAATGCTTCCAAAATATCATTCACAATCAGTCTATTTTGCCGCGATACTAAAAAATCATCAATACTGAATAACCGCTCAATTAATTAATGAAAGTAGAATTGGATCAAATTTTAAAAATAAATTCTTCAAGGGTAAGGAAAACGTGCGATTGATTTAATATTCTTTTGCTAAATAAATAAGAGAGAACCTTCATGAGGCCATATTTATAAATATTAGAAGTAGGATCATCAAAAATAATATCAGAAAATCACCTTTTTTTCTTGATGATTGATCTCAAGAATAAAGAAGGTTCCCAAATACTTTTACTTTTTAATTTTACTTTTAATGAATATAACATTTTTTTTCGACACGTTACTTATGTTTAATTAGATATATAAATTTATGTCAATCTATAATGATTGTAATTGTAAATAATTAATCCTACAAAGTGGATCTAAAAAATTTTGACAATCTGTGAGTGACTATCTTGTCGCGAAATCCAATATAGAATAAGAATATTGCTGAAGAAGACTCGAAAGAGAATCGAAATGTTTAATGAGTTGTCAAGACTGTAAATAAAGAAGACATCTATATATCAAATGAAGTAATAATTTTACTTGTTAAAAATTTTATTGCGCACCTCCTTCCGCGTTGTCTCTTATTAGCCCAAATTAATTTTGTTTTTGTTTAAACAGAGAGAGAGAGAGAGAGAGAGAGAGAGAGAGAGAGAGAGAGTGTTTGATTAAAACACATTTATTGTTAAAAATTTATATATAATATAAAAATAAAGAAAAGATTTTCCTTTCTTCTGTGTTGAAATAAAAAAAATTCGCAGAAAACTTATTTCGAAGGTTATCTTCTTCTTTTTTTTGTATGTGAAATAAAGTCTGCAGTCTATAGTTGCTGTTGGTAATTGTAATATTTTAAAATGTATGGAGGGAAAATGCAGAGTGTGTGTTGGGCATAGTATATATAGGTTTCGATCCATCAGAGTTCACATCAGATCACATTCAGAGATCATATTAGTTTCATTTTTATTTGCGGAAGCAAGTTTTACGTGGCACGAAGATTGGAGGCTAACTGTCTTAAGGCACATCAAATTTTATTTTGACCAAATTGTTATTGTAACCAAATTTTATTTAAATAATTTAATTTTCATTTCTTAGTGAAAATTTTCTATAACAATTAAAATATATATTTTTGTGTATACAGGGTTGGCCATATTCGACGGAAAGATGTTTTTTTTTT